AAAAATTTATTAAAAATATTTTTTTTATTTTTAAATTTATTATGTAAAAATATTTCAATAGATTTCCACGTCATTCATGAGGTACTATTGCTATTAAGGAAAAATATATTTTTAATAAATTTTTTTAACATTAATCGGATAGCGCTGCTCCTAACGCTCGGCGGCGCTGGCCATAGCGGCTGCCGCGCGCGCGTAAAGAGAGGAAAGGAGGCGTATACCACGAGAATCGGCCGAAAAGATGAAATAATTCCGAGCCCTGGCCTAGAGAAAGCGTCATACGAAAAACGACGGCATGGCTCCTCTCAGGCTTTTCTCTGGTGAAATCACATCACTGGCTGCGTAGAACATTTTGCGCACTCGAGTTTGCGCCTCTGATGGTGCGTTTGGCATCGGTGGCTCATTGTTCGAGTTTTCAATCTGACAGCTCTGCTTTCCGGTACTAGTTCTGTAAAGAAATCAAATCAAGTTGTAAGTGTAACACGTTATTGTGCATTAGTTTTAGCATCGCGATGGGGATATTGGAAAAGATCTCGGAAATCGAGAAGGAAATCGCGCGAACGCAGAAAAATAAAGGTGAGTATTTGATCGATATCGTAACATTGAGTTTCTTAACCTATTTGTGTTACTTTTCAATATTGTAACTTAAAAAACGAAATTTGAAACAACTAAATATCCTCGAAGCAACTGCAATTTGTAGATATATATATATTTGTAAAATTTTATTGCAGCTACCGAATACCATTTGGGTTTACTAAAAGCAAAACTTGCTAAGTATAGATCGCAACTTTTGGAACCGGCAAAAAAATCTGAGAAAGGTGAAGGTTTTGATGTATTAAAGTCGGGAGATGCCAGAGTCGCACTGATCGGTTTCCCATCAGTTGGAAAATCCACTCTACTCAGTACCTTAACAGCTACCCAGTCAGAGGCTGCATCCTATGAATTTACTACTCTGACATGCATTCCTGGTGTTATTGAATACAAAGATGCTAATATACAATTATTGGATTTGCCTGGTATAATTGAAGGAGCAGCACAAGTAAGCAAAAACTGTACTGGCTGACTGGTGTTGTTTTCTACAATTGTCATTTCTATATTATATTGAATGATTTGTTCTGATATCTTAGGGAAAAGGACGAGGTAGACAAGTTATAGCTGTTGCTAGAACAGCTGACTTGGTCCTCATGATGTTGGATGCAACTAAACAAGATGTTCAACGACAGCTCTTGGAAAAGGAATTAGAATCAGTTGGAATAAGGTTGAATAAGAAGAAGCCTAATATATATTTCAAAATAAAAAAAGGCGGTGGATTGGCTTTCAACTCGACATGTCCTCTAACTAAAGTAGATGAGAAATTAGTTCAAATGATTCTGCACGAATATAAAATTTTTAATGCAGAAGTGCTATTTCGCGAGGATTGCAGTGCGGATGAATTGATTGATGTTATCAATGCAAACAGGGTATATTTGCCTTGTCTTTATGTATATAATAAAATAGATCAAATATCGATAGAAGAAGTTGACCGAATTGCCAGGCAACCAAATAGCGTCGTAGTTAGGTAACATATTAAAAAAAAGAGATTATCATAAACACAAAATACCTTGTTTGTTATGAGTCTTTTATTAATTTTAATTTTTCTGTAGTTGTAATATGAAGTTAAATCTTGACTTCCTTTTGGAAACACTATGGGAATACTTATCTTTGATAAGAGTATACACAAAAAAGCCTGGACAACCCCCTGATTTCGATGATGGTTTAATATTGAGGAAAGGGGTAACTGTAGAACACGTGTGTCACGCAATTCATCGCACACTCGCTCAACAGTTCAAATATGCCCTTGTGTGGGTAAGTTAATAGATATATTTATACAATATGCATTTATTACACTGATATATTTATAATTATAGGCAATTTTCAGATTTTATTAGGTAACCAAAAAAGTTCTTGTTTTTTAATAGTCACATTTCTTAGAATTGATTAAGAACTGATATAAATATAATGTAATGGTTTCATCATTTACATTCAATTCTTGAATACTTCTTGGCGCGTTAATTTTGAATTTGCTTCGATTACTATTTATTCGTCTTTATTTAAAGATGTCAATCTCTAACAGAAAGCATTTTCAGGGATTTATCCTCTGATGCAAATTTTTGAAACCAATACCGAACAATTCTTTTACTGCATTTATTTTTAAATGCAGAGAAAAATTTTCAGCAAGCTTTTGACACTTTGGATCCAAGTTTAAATTCATACAATAAATAAGCATGGATCACGCTTACTTAAACAGAATATTTTAAGAGGTTAAAATATTTGTATCTATCACCTTTAATCATAGACTTAATGGATTGAAAATTTTTCACTTATTATTGTGTTACCTTTTCGATGAAACAAACTTTTAAACTCTGACTCTTCCATGGTGCTTATTTTTCTAGACAAAACGATCGTGCGTACAACAATGTCAACCACTATTCTAACAATGTTTAAATAAGAAACTCTTGAAAATTACGTTGTGTTTACATCAATTATTTATTTAGTACCGACACTGAAGAAGGCCTAGTATAGGTCGACACGTTTGTCAATACAATTTTATGTTTCAAATATATTTGCACAAAGAGCAAGCATTGATTCTTTTTGTCTTTTTGGCTCATTTTGAATTGATAATTTTCATTGGAGCTTGATATTATAATTTTTATGCTAAAATGTTTATTTAACTTGAACTTTGCAATTTGAAATACAGTATCTAAATGAAGTGAGGTATGTATTTTACGGTGAAAGAAGTCTGTACATCTAGTTATGGTTGACATAAACAATTTCGTAAATTATAACTAATGAGAAATGGTAAGAACTTTTTTGATTACCTAAATTTATATCATATCAATGATGTGATCTTGATTACAGTGGGGAGGGGGGAGTGTGGCTTTCACGTACATAATCGAGAACAGCGTATATGTGCTGTGCAGAGCGTTCATATATAAATTATATTTTATGTTTTTAGGGTACAAGTACGAAATATTCACCTCAAAGAGTAGGACTGCAGCATGTGATGCATGATGAGGATGTCGTGCAGATAATGAAAAAATGAATATGAAACTTGCAAGACATTTGGTACAAAAGTGTGGATAGCAATATAAAGCCTTATTTAGTCTTCTATATGTATATATATATATATGCATTGTATTGTATTCTATTCCATTATATTGCATATGTATAAACTTACATATATACATGTGCACATTTATAAATGACAAAAAAGTGTTAGCAAGCTACTACTATCAACAAATTGTCAAATTTAACGGTTTTAGATTGAGCATAATACGTTAAATTACATATTTTCAAAAATTTGTCTGCAGAGATAATAAAATTTATGAAGATAAATTAAATTTTCATGTATTTATTTAATTATGAGAGAGATATGTAGATTGGAAAAACTCCTCTAAGTTTAAAAAGAGGGAAGAAAAACGCTTTTGTTTTACTTTTTAAAAATCGATGTAATGTCTCCGGGAATACGCGAATATGCGACTTTAAAGATGAAATCTATATTATAGAATTTCTATAATATAGATTTATTATATATAGATATATATTTTATATACAGGGTGTCCCAAACCGAATGCACCGTACTGAAATGATACATTTCTGAAATAAAAATCTTAATACCAAATACCAAAATGTCGAGGCTGTAATAGGTTTTAAATGGAAAACATTTAAAGTTGATTAATCAAGTTATAAATTCGCACATTCAGGTATAGTACATCGGACAATAATGAAGGTATCTTTAGATATTAATCTGTTTATTTTTTATTGTATGTAAAATTATATCTGTATTTAAAAGTAGATTGATATCTGAAGATACCTTTATTACTATACGATGTACCATGCCTAAGCGCGTGAATTAAAGCGACTTGATTAATCACTTTAAATGCTTTTTATTTAAAAACTATTATAGCCTCGATATTTTGATATTAGAATTTTTATCTCAAAATAATCTTAGGAATGTTTCAATACAATGCGTTCGATCTGGGAGACCGTATATATTATATAGACTCTATGTAATATATTGTATAACGATCGCGGCATCATATTGCATAATAATACAAATTCAGAAATCGATAGGCACGTTCGTTGATTCGATTTTTCCGATCGGGCAATTCGGGGACAATAATTCAAGCGCCGATTTTCTCCTTTCGTTGTCCGCTCAGCGATACGATGAATAATGAATAACATTCCTGCGGCACGATGACATCGTGAAGAATGCTTGTGCAGGCGCTCTTAGCTGGCGTATTGTACCATCGCTTTATCCTTCTTCAATTTCAGCACCTTTCTTTATTTCTCTCACCCGTTTCTCTTCCCCATCTCGCTTCCTTTTTAGCCCCTCTTCCTTCTTCTCACGGACGTGTACACGAAAATGCGTTCGTTGCTCGCACGAGACACATATCCTGATTACTAATTCACGTAGCTGCGGACTACTTCCCCGCCTCGTTGTGACACCAAATCCCATATTCCAACCAGAATGGAGAGTCGGTGAGTTCGAGAGCTCAATGATCCATGCGAGCGAGCGACTCACACGTCGGATCTTACACAGATTGTCTCGCCGCCGACGTCGCTGGGAAATATTTCTCAGTAGTGGATTTTTCGATGAGTACGGATGTGCTTTCACCTTAGCGAAACTTTGACGAAATACGCAAATTTTGCCAACAATTTCTATTTAGTGAAAATTTTACGAGGCAAAATCAAAGCGTTTTTTTTTTACAGTTGTCAATGGTGAAGTTTGTCGATGAAATGTTTTTAAAATATATAATAAAATATACATATAATTAGAATATAATAAATGTAATTAGAATACGACAACTAAGTCATGAAATATTTCTTGAGATAGCCTTAAGGAATGTCTATCAGACAGAAACGATGTCAGATAGAGATGTATCTATGTAATTAAAGCAATTATAGTGTAATTGCAATAAATCTTAAAATTTATCTTAGATAAACGTGACAATTGTCACTAATCGATGTGCCATTGATGCTTTCGCGATTAATCTGACAGGTAGTTAATCGGACTATTATTGTTTGTCTCATATATCCATGTCAGTCAAGTGTGATTACATTTTATTATTGCCTGACTTATAGATCCACATCACTTATTATAATGACAATAAAAATGGAACATAATTTTTCCTGTATATCTATGAACTACACATTTGTACTGAATGGATATTGAAATAATTAAAACGAGTTAGAGAAATATAACAACAAAAAACAAATTATATAAATATATAATTACAATATAAATAATAGAAAGAGCTGATAATATAAATAGAATAAACTGAAAAAATGTATGCGACAAGTGCATAATTATTTAATTCTTTTTCTATGATTTGCTGTCCTTTTTGAAACAGCATACCAGTTTTTTCTAACTTTCTATCTCAGTCTTCGTAGAAACTTTCGAAAATCGTTGAAGCATCTCGTAGCATCATAATTGAGTTATCGGAACTCTCCCAATCGGTGGACTAAATATATTGCGACGGATACACTAAACGGGGAAAGACCGTGTTGGATTTGCGAAGATCATCAGGAGTAGTCCCGAAGCGTGAAATCGTGCGGCGTTCCAGAAACTGGAATGTATCGCATAAAAATCCAATGCCGCTGCTTTAGGCGGATGCTAGCGTTATATATGATTGATCCATCGATAGCCACTACTATGCCATCCATAGGAGGAAGTCGCCTGGTATTTACAGTTAGACGATCGGCCGGTTCGATAACGATCGAGTTTTCGTTGCTTTCGCTCCTCGTTCTGCAGATGAACATTTTATTTTTGTGATTCTTGTGATTCTAGCCCTTAACGTTAAAGGGGTCATTTCGCTGTAATATTGAGATTGGAATTATTTCGATTATACAAACATACATTTTTAAGGATTTAACTGCGAATAAAATGAAACTTTGCAAGCTCACTCTCGCTCTCCGCTCCATATCGCTTAGCTTAACAAAATGAATTCATCTACTTATAAGAAAGACATTTTTCTTATAAATTACTAAAAATTATCTGTAAATACCGATTAAAATTATTTTTGTATAATTTGATCACAATAAATATTATAATAAACTTTTCAAAATGTTGCATTAACCATATTATTTTGTGATAGGTAAAATATGTATGGATTTTAACATTTTGAGATTTACGCAATTTTTCTGAATTTTATGACGTGTATATTGAATCTATTGATTTTTAACATACGGATAATTCTTGGCTTTGAATACTTAAAGTAAAATTCCGATAATTAGACGACTTTGAAAATGGCTTTGTAGACATAGTAATGTAATTGTACCTATCGTGAAACAAATCTAAGATGGATTAACCGCAAATAGATTATTATCACTCTCGCTCCATCTGACGAACTGTTTAATACTTAGTTTGATGATGCTGCTCGTTTAATGTACTACTTCCGCACTAAATAATGTATTACCCGGATCGACGCTACTGACATGGCTCGTTCAATTTTAAGACAGTTAATTACCGCAATTGCCTCACATCTCACATGTGGATGATTAGGACTGTATAATGAAAATGACTGCAAATATAAAATGTCTGTTAATGGAGTCATCTTGTGTTTTGCCGTACGGATTTATTGAGAACACTTTCATGCGATGACTCGAGTGGATCTCCGTTATCGTTTAGTTCTCCGGATGAACGATAAGGGATACAAGATTAATATTGAAAACATTGACTCATACAAAAGTGAAATAGGCAATTATTGATTACAGCTAAATTTGGCGCCGTGAAAGCTCACTTCTTCTGTTCACTTTCCGAAGAATGTTTTACAATTAAATCTTGAAATGTTAAAATGCATATATCTCTATCTTGCAAAAATAACACTTTGTTTGAGAATTATGACTTGTTGGAGACCTTACTGTACACGGAAAAAATTTTATATCAAAAATTATTATGTACGGTAGTAGTTGCGGATCATGAAGGAATTATAAAAATTTTTACTATGTTTTTCACATGTGAAATATAGTAAAAATTTTCGGTTTACGGCTTCATGGTCCGCGGTAAATGCCATACATAGTAATTTTTGATAAAAAATTTTCTCCGTGTAATATCTAACGTGGCCAAGTTACAAAAAAATAATGTTAATCAGTATTTCAAAACATAACATTGATTTATCTTAAGAAAATTTATCTTAGGATAAAAAAAGTAAAAATTTCGTGAATGGAATCAAGTTAAAGAAAGTGGATATGGAAGATTGTGGAGATTAATAGGAACCCAATTGGAAATTTGTGTTTATATATGTTTTATATTAACTGTAATAACATATTATATAAATATTCTTCTGAAGTTAGTATATTATTTATTAATGTACATTAATATATTATTTGTAGTGTTAGTTAGTGTATATACCCAGTCAACAAAATGTTAGCAGCCTGCTGGCAGTTTGCGAGTAGATTCGCTCAGAACTTGGCAGCACATACGGTGCCATCTGTGTCCGCATTAAGCTCGTGTTCTGTCGGCAGAACCTGTCGACATAGGTTGACAGCAGATTGGCGGCAGAAAACGAGCAGGATCTGTGCAGTGTAATTTGATGTCAGATTGTCGGCAGAAATCGAGCAGAACCTGTCGTCACAATTTCAAATGGACTAGCGGCATTTAAATGCTTCATTATAATTTTACATTTCTCGTTTCGCTTATTAAAAGTAATAAATAAAGTATGCAAAGTATATAATATATATTTGCTTTATTAGGACAAAAAAAATACTTATGTTTTAATAAATTTATTAGGCGAAATCCCGGCAATATCGGGTCAACTCGCAGCGCATTTTCAATTTCAAAAGTCAATTTAATATTCTGAATCTCTTGTGGGGATTGTATCAGATTATTGTATTAAACTGATAAGTTTCATTAAGCTACTGGCCACACTTTATATGCACTATAGATGAATTTTGAGTACGAGTTTATATATGAAGAAACACGCCGCATAGCGGCAAACAACATTAAATTGCACTGCGCGGATTTTGCTCGATTTCTGCCGCCAATCTAACATCAAACTGCGTTGCGTAGGTCCTGCTCGGTTTCTGTCGTCAATCTGCTGTAATAATTCCGAGCAAATCCTACTCGGTTTCTGCTACTGATCTGTTGTCAAATTATGTCAGCAGGTTTTGAATACAATCTGCAGTCTTTCCGCTGACAAAAATTTGTAGCAGACGTTTGGCAATATCTGTTCGAACAGACTTTGCTGACTGGGTTATATATAAATTTGTATTTAATATTTAGAGCTGAAGAATTTTTCAAAATCATAGAAATTTTGTTCTAGAAAGCAATATATTGGGTTGTTTTTGATAAAAACATAATTTTAAAAAACTTTGCAAATAATGAAATAGATATTTAATGTATAATTTACTTGAAAATGTAATGTTACTTAAGTTCACGAGGCGTTAGGTCTCTCTCTCTCTCTCTCTCTCTCGCAATCTTTTAAAGATTAATATAATAAGTAGATAATATTTCTGAATTATGGAAACTATATATATGGAAAATTTGTTAGAGATAATCAGATGCTCATTGCTGTAGGATTTGCTTGTTCACGCGTACGATACGCGCACGCACATCTTAAGAAAGGGAGAAAACGTGCGATCGTGGAGAGCCACGTGGAGAGCAGGAACAAGCAGGTAATATGGCGCGAACGAATGCATGAAGAGTACGAGAAGGAGGACGAAGAAAGAGTACGAAAGGAGGTGGAGGTGCAGGTTGGTATAAAAGGGTCGCATCGCGGCGCCTCGTCTGTTTTAACACTCTCACCGAGCCGTTCGGTGGATCGTTTGAAGAAGAAACGGGACGTATAACGTACGTCATCAATCGTTGATCGTGAGAAGAAAAGGAGAGTAGAAAGAGAGGAAGGAAAAAAGGGTGTGTGTGAGAGAGAAAGAGAAAGAGAGAGAGAGAAAGAGAGAGAGAGAGAGGTGAGTTTCCATGGATCTCGCGAATTCTACGCCCGGATACAAGCAAAGTGGAGAAAAAGTGCCCATCACCCTCATCGTCGGGAGTCATTGAACGTCGTTGAACGTTGAACGGAACAGAAAACGATTTCCGGTAGCCGGATCTACAAACGGCCTTGACCGACTCCGCGTCGGGTCTTCTCTTCCCCATCACCCGTTTAATTGAAGGCACGGTTTGTTTAAGGGCTGAGTGATAACTGTGTGCAACGTTAATACAGTGGGATAACTGGTACCCTTCGTGTGATACATTTACATCTGGACACCCCTTGTGAATTTAATTTTATCAAGTTTCTTTTGGATTTTGACACAAACGAAAATTATTTTCTGATTAATGTATCGTTATCAATTCGTGGAAAATTTTGTGCAGGCACTTTTAAATAAAAATAATTTACTTTCTAAAAATGTCTTGTATAGTTAGAAATTATTTATTAACTATTAAAAATTCTGGTTTGATTTAAATTTTATTTGTTTACAATTTCGTGAATAGTTTTTATAGTCTCTCGATATAAAGAATTGATTCTGTTTCTATCAAATGTTTTTATCAACAAAAAAGAAGAATATGTTGGAATCGAAAAAAAGTCAGTAAGAATCATTCACAATCAAGGATATTTCTTACGGTACAACACACAGACATTACAACGTTGTCTGAGATCATTTTACGCGAGAAGCATCGTAAATAATTAATTCGTTGGGTAGCGGTAACGGGAATTCAAGAGATATTCGCATACGTTAATATTATCATTTAATACGTAATAAAGGAATCTATGTTTACTGATCATTTAAATTCCTCTTAATAACTTTTATTTTAAGTGATCGTTAAATTTGATCCATTTGATTGATTGTGATTTGTACATTTTTTTCAAAGAAGGAGTCTAGTTTATTGGTTCAATAGTGGCGCTATTTACTGGTTTATTGTGACGCTACTTATTATTCGTTTCGCGGTTGTTCCATATGTTCGTGCTCTGAAAAATGAAAACACATGCATGGGAATATGACACTATAGGAATCTCGCCTCGGTTGATTACCGGTCACGACACAGAAAGTGTCTCTTTTGCAACGGGTTTTAGAGGAAAAAAATTACAATTCCTTACGGTTAACTTGCAGCCAAGATTACCGTACGCGCACTTATTGTGTATTCCGATGTTCTAACGAGTTGCACGTGTTGCCCGTAACGGATTTATTACACCTATTACTCCTATTTAAGAAATAAATAGAAAGCGTTTCATTAAAATGTCTTATTACAAAGACGTTTAACTTGCGGCCTCAATTGTTCACTTTATATTTTTCTTTGATAAATAGGTAAAGTGTTTACTGCAAAACATTTAATTTGCCTCGTAAATTATTTATTCTATCCAGATCATTAAATATTAACTTGAAGACATAGCGGCCAATGACTTTTTCTCTTATTTATAAAACTTATAAGAAAATTATTTAATTTCCATAAAATTCTATTATATATAATATGCTATAATTTGTATTTTGCATCTTTATTTTTAAATAAATCTCTATGAGATAGTGTCATATATATAATAAATTAATAATAGCTATTTCTATTTACTATTGCAGAGCCATGAGACTAGCGGCAGTGCTAACGTTGCTGTGCTGTCTGGCGATAGGGGCATTCGCCTCGCCGGTGCCCAAGATCGCTGACAGTAAAGTGTTGTCGACGCAGAATGTCGTTATGACTGGTAGACAATCACCCGCAGCGCCAGCTCCTGCTGACGACGACGATGATGACGACGACGACGATGACGATGTTGATCTAGATATCACTGGCGACGATGATGATGACGACGATGATGATGATGATGACGATGACGATGACGACGGTGATTACTTGGAACGTTTCATCGAAGATATAATTGGAGGTGAGAAATTTATTATATTGTTTGGTTATCAATATTATTAGTTTAATTATAAATTTTATTAACTACTAATTACTAATTACTAATTATTAGTTAAAATAATTAATATAGATAATAATTATTAATAAGATGAACAGAGTATATCATTCTAAATTTAATGCTTTAACGTTTTGTTAAATAAATTACTAAAATTCTTATATAAAAGAAAAATAAAAAATATTGCGCTAGTGTGTTTTTAAATTCCTACTACAAAAAAAAATATATATTTTTTAATTTTGATGTATTATATAATAGTTTAATTGTGAAAGAGGAATTCTTTTTTTTTGTGAATTGAAACTTGTTTCAACGAGAGTTGATTGTGAAGAAAGTTGAATGAATCGATTTCCTTCCTTTTTTCGATTTGTATTGATTTGCATTCGTCCTGTCATATCAATTTCTTTTCCATCAATTTTCCAATAACCAACAAAAGAGAATCTCGCAAATGACACACACCGTTATACAAACACTTTGTGCTGAGAATCTCTGTTTCTTTCCTACTTTTTCTCTCTCATGTATGTTCGCACGCTGTAACGGTACAGAATACTTTGACTCGTCCAAATTAGCATAAATCGACAGCGATCTCGGTTTGGAAAAAAATTTCTACGCGCTACTTCTTCGCATTGACCTGAATACCAAAAGATTATCCGAGTTCTCGATCCCCCGGCACGAAGCGCATTAAGATTATAAATCCATGAACTTGTGAGAGCTGGACAATATTGTAATCAAGTACTATGTTACTACAGGTGTATGTGTCGTTACGATGCTTTAGTAGTGTTAAACTTTCTATTTATATCGCATTTTTCAGATTTTTAAAGATATAATTTTAACGATGCGTTTGCTATGTACAACTGAAACCAGTTTTAAAAGATATATATTTGAAGCACAACTCGCTCCAAGTTTTCTGTCGAGTTATTGAGTCCTCAAATTAGGTTTTTAGACGTTTCTCTAGTCTCCCTTGCATTTTATTCATGCATTCTTCGTGCTACATAGTTTTTTCTATCATTTGCATGTCTCGCATATTTAGAACTGTTAGATTTGTATCAAACGGTGTTTCCGTAAAAAATTTATAAATTTAATCAATTGACTGAAAACTAAAGTCAATTTAATTAAGAAATTTCAATTAACATTAATTCAATCAATTCTATCTTATTTTTAAATTTGCGTATAATTTAATTTAGTTATTAATTTCTTTTGCTTTACTAATTATAATTTATTTTTGTTATTGTTTAATCCATTATGGTGATATCATTAAAGAAAAGTATATAAAACGTTTACCTATAACGTTTATCATTGACTTACAGGAGACGATGATGATGATGACGACGATGAATCCGCCGGTGCCTCTCCTGCATCCGCTGCACTCGCAACACCTTCACCCTCCGTTGTTTCGCAGCACATACCGGCTGCAGTGGTGGCTGATCTGAATCAGGCCGCTGCCGAAGAAGCTGCAGAGGCAGGTGAAGCGGCCGAGGAAGACACTGGTAGCTACGAGGACGAGGATGCAGGTGACGCCGAAGGCCAGGCTGCGTCCAACGTGCATGAATCGACGCTCGAAGGTGCCGAATCCGTCTCGAATCCGGTATCAGTACAAGCCGTCGGGACGGCGGCATTGCCTGGCGGCGTCGCTCCGGCGGCTGCTCTGACCCCGACGAACGACGATGACGACGACGACGATGACGACGACGATGATGACGATGACGTAGACCTGGATATCACGGAGGATGATGACGATGACGATGACGATAGCGATGAGGATGATGACGATGACGACGACGACGACGACGATGACGACGAAGTGGATGAGATTGCCGACATCGCCGGCGCCAGACACGCACGTGAGTTCAAGGGCAAGAAGGCCAAGAAACATAGCGTCAAACACGCTCGCAAGTCGTCCGCGAGATCGGTCTCTTCTTCTTCTTCTTCTTCTACTTCTTCTCCTGTCGCCGCGTCAAAGAATCCTGCATAAATCGAATCAAGAGCCAATGTGACCTTGCGCGATTTCTTCGCCAATAATGACAATAACGATGTGTTTTTCTCTCGCATGGACATTTTCTTTTTGAGAAATGGTCATTGCACATCGATTACCTATCGATTAATTTTGCCAAACGTCTGCGATTTTGTATCGGTTTTGCAAAATTAATTAGCCGTGGCTACATCCAATCGTGAAGTTCGCGCGTTCGTGGAGTGCAATTCATTTTAATCATTTCTATTCATTTTTATGTTTCCTTAAAAAGTTTTAATTTTTAACTTAGTAACTACGCTTTTACGAAATTTTTCGTCTAATATACGTAATTTTTCTTTTAAAAGCAAAGTTATTAAACAAAATTCGAATTTTTATAATTTATGGAAACATAAGAGTATAAAAGAATTATCTTGTTACTCTTAGATTAATTTTTACTTAGAATTAAAATTGCTTTTTTGTTACTCTTTTTTATTTACATTCTTTATTTAATAATATGTAATAGTACATTATAATTTTTTAAAATTATTTTTAATTTATAAGTTTTAATCAGCTTATAAATAGAATTTTAAGAGAGAGAGAATTATTATTATTCGAATTATCATTTACTACGTTTATAAAGTTATCAAATTAAATTTATTAGAAGTACATAAATTTATAATAATTCATATGATTCTCTCCTTTATCTCACGAATATTTATACCACTTCAAATCTCGTTGCAAATTTTCTCCACTATATTCGCGTGACAGTTTCTCGATCGGGTGTTTCGATTTCTTTATATTTTAGAAGTTATTCGACGACAAAAAATCTGCGGTAAGAATATCAGATTCTCTGCTATATCAATCTTGCGCTCTAAACGATCAATTATTTCACTTTAAATTGCTTCTAGTGTTAGTTATTTATTGTTATTTATTAACGGCAATACCTCTATTTAAAGTCGCATCGCATATCATATCGCACCATAAATTGGCACATCTGGTCTTTTTATAGTCTTTTGTTTTTTCTTCTACTTTGCCTCTCATAGTTCTCTTGGCAAGGCTTGCGCTCTTTCCATCACAAAGCTCTGTAGAATTGTTAACAGATACGTACTAGGTAATACAACGTTCCAGAAATATTCCTAAAGACGTTTAAAAATGTTCTAATATATGTTCAGACATTAATCATTAAGTGTCTTTTAGACACATTTAAAAGATTTCAAAGTTTTCTTCATATAATATTCTTAAATATATAAAAGACACTAAACTTTTATTCAGATTTTTTAGATATAAAACAATGTCTTAAATTTGTAAATAATTTTTATATAATTTTTTTAATATCTAAAACATCTCAATCTTACTTTTCAACTTCTTCAACTTTTTTTAAATTTGTATTTGCTTTTGCTCTTCATTTTTGGACATCTTCTGGATACTTGTGTTGCTTGGAGTCGCATTGAAATGCTTTGGTTTGGTGACCTCACGTCACGTATTTTCCATCAACATTTGCGGTCTAATTAACTGTCGATCAAATAAGCGAGCATAGAAATAAATAAAAAAAAGAGAAAGAAAGAGAATGAAGAAAGAGTGCGTGATAGAGAGGGAATGAGAGAGAGGAGAGGAGTGGGGGAGGGGGAGGGGAGGGAGGGGAGAAAAAGGAGAGAGAGAGAGAGAGAGAGAGAAAGAGAGAGAGAGAAGGAGAAAAAATCGTGAGCCAAAGATGTCATTTAATTTTTTTAATCGTTTATAGGGTCAAACGACACTGTGGGTAAAATTGCACACATTGGAAATCAGGACAAAAAATTAAGCTCGTCCTGCACTTATCGATTTAGATTAGTAATAAAAAATTTAATCTGGCAATGATGACTCTATCGATTTATTGTTCTTTAATTCAAATTTAATCTTAAGAATTATTTTATTATATTTAATACATTTCTATCTTATTCTATTTTTATTATCTGTTAAAGTTGTCTATCATCTGCTAGCTTAAATAATCGATGACAGTGTCGATTGTCCCGCGCGCGCGACCGAATCGAGAGATCTTTTTATAATGTTTGTCTACATTAAACCAAGACTTGTACAGAGACATTGTTTGCTCTGGATTGCAAAATACAAATAATTTATTATTTTTACAAAATTGTGTGTATTACCTCTTTATTTCATTCACCATTGTCCAGTCATATCGAATCAGTCGTGCGTGTTTGTGTCCAGATACACTCGTGATCCATGATGCTTTCTCTCTGCTTTCTTTCCTTCGATAAATAAATATAGAACGCAATTGCAAGTCTTTTTTCAGCCGGAAAAGAATCGGAAAAAGATTAAAAATCGAGATAATTTTAGATGAGGTCAATTTTCGATGCCGTAGACGCAAAAAAATATGTAAGACTATTATGGATAAACTTAAAGATTATATTTTCATGTCTTTATGGCATCAAAATCTGAAGTAATTCATTTTTATTATTTTATTTTATTTATTACTTAAAAATTCCGTTTCTCCGTGACGTGATGTGACACGCAGTAACCCACCTTGGTCGTTTGAATGCATTTAATAGCAGCGCTTCTCTTTTTCTAATTTCTTTCATTAACGTCGAATCTATTTGCTTTTTTTCTTCTCGCTCGTTTCTCACAAGATCGTAGCCCTTACCTGCTATCGCTTTAGTTGTATTTCTTTTATTTGCCAGTAGATAATCGCGTGTTTGGTGGACGGTTTTGGACGATTGACTACAAGAACGTGTACTTGGACAGTAGCACGATATCCCTTCATTTGTCCTTTTATCCGTATTCTTTACTTTCCTTTTAAAACCTTCAAGTAGACATAGATTTAGTAGTTAATAACTAACTGGTAATTAAAAATTATAGTAGCTGATAACTAAAATCAAAAAGAAAGATTTGCTAGTGTTTGTATTGATAATGGTGATAACGTTTCTTATTGATCCAACGGCAACCCTCGCAAATTTCTTTTTATTAAAGCACTATCGTAGATTTTCTTTTTCTTATTCGTAGTTTAATTTATTCGCAGATCTCAAACTCGCTATTTTAAACAGCTTGCTTTGGTTTTATTTATTTTATTAAATATTAGCTGTATTTGTAGTAATTCTATTATATTTTTTCTATCTTTTGTTGGTTCTTATATTGCGGAATACATGATACTGCCTTTATAGCAGAGATTGAAATCCTTATGATTTAAAATTTAGATTTTGATGATATAATTGTGAAAAAATAGATTTTACACTAATTATACTTCTGTTCAAACTCAAAAAAATTCAAAAAATTAATAGAATCTGTTTTAGAAGAATGTTTAAAAAATTAAGACATTTTTTAAATATCTAAAATATAAAGAACTTTTGCAAAATAAGGATATCTTTTATTATAAATGTTTAAAAGATATATATCAAAGATTAGGACCTCTTTTACATAATATCACCTTATCGTTTAGATATTTGTATTTTTTTTGTATTGTTTGAGAAAAAAAAGATCAGTTTTTCTAAATCTTTACAGCATCGAAATCTGCAATTAACGATATCGATTTCAATCTTTTATTCACTGGTAAAGCCTATGATGAAAAAACAATCGTCAAAGTTGGTTCGGAAATAATTGGTTCGAGTTCGATACCAATTAAATACTGCCGTCAGCTTACAAATAGTGATTCTGTATCAGCCGTCACGCCACGTCGTCTAATTAACTTTCTACATGACTGCCGGGTTAAATGCAACAAAGGTATGACCGCGTTGAAATTTTTTCCTGGCTTTCACCAGGAGTAGCCGGTCGAAAAAAACGAGGTCATCGACCCGGAGAACGTAGAAGCGTTATGCGGAAGAGAACTGCGACCCTGACCCACACAGTCAAAGTCACGACGTTGACGTCTTTCGGTTTTCATTCACGTGGCATGCTTAAACCGTGATTTAGTATATTATCGCTATTAATCTTTTTGTTGTGTGCATCTCTGTGGAATCCAATTGACTCTTTCCATCCCTTAAAAATAAAACATCTGTTGCAGACAAAAATCTATTTATGCTTTGAGTATTTAATAAGAAAAATTACTTATTTCTATTTAATAAATTCATAACAAAACGTAATTGTATTTTAAAAAATTTATATTTTTATATTTGACTACAAAATTTATTCTAATAAACATTCAAATAAAAAAATTCGATTTTATCAGTGTTTGTTGTTACGATTTTATTAAATCTTTAATTAAAGTTTTATAAACATTTAATTTATAATTGAAAATCCAAAAATGAAACTCTTGTATAAATGTCATGTTATTTTTATTTGTAATTGTATTCATTTTCAAGCACGCTTCTTGATGAGAATTGTTTCGGGTCAATTGCGTTGCACAAGGAGCTCTTTAAATATATAAAAGATTTCCAACAGTATAGATAGCGTACTATTATGCGCGCATTATCTAAAAATTTCGACCTCAATACTTAATACTTCCGTCTATGCCGAAAGTAGACGGCCTTGATATTGTGCGTGGTGCGAGGTTTTCATCGCAGTGTGATCGATACGATGTCGTGACTTTTAAAGAAAGTGTGCTTAACGCGCCGTAAGTACAATGACCTCGGGGGAGAGTTTTTAGGCAAGCAACAAAGCTGGATGAAATGGACCGGTGCGTACGTCCACGCTTGCGCGTGCATGCAACTAGATAGGTCTGTAGGTGAATCATGTAGCGAGAAATGGAGGTCGTGCCCCAGATCGGGGACCAGTTCGGCTGCGCGCGCACCGAAGGATTCCGATATACCGTTAACATTGTCGCCGTTTTAAGTAGGCTTCATCGCTATCCGGCAACTCCGTCACCTTCCTTCCAAAGTAGTTGGCCGGAGAAGGGGGAGAGGGAAGGGGATAAAGTGCGTTTTCCTTCATTAAAATCCAGCAATGGTATACCTGAAACCGTGGAAGGCGGCATTCTAGCTTGGCCCATGACCTAAATGAAATGAGATAATCCCCAGGGAAAACAACAGGTCTAAAAAATGTCTAATAGACGTCTATTAGACTTTTCTTAGACCTGTTGTTCTCTATGGGTCTCACAAAAAATGGTTTCAAGGTCGCAGTCGCAGCCAAAGAGTTTCTCCATTTTTTCATTCTCGGGATCGCCTGAAATCAGGCATTTTTGTAGACTTAACAATTTCTGGGTCAACCACATATATTGTCCATTCTATATAGAGAAAATTTTATATAAAAAATTATGTACGGCAGTAGTCGCGAACCATGAAAAAATTATAAAAATTTTTACTATGTTTTTCACATAATGGCCATTTAAACTTATAATTCCTCTTATGATCCGCGGCTATTGCCGAAACATAGAAATTTTTTATTTTAAAATTACATTAAAATTTTTTTCGTGTGGAGACTCGCTATTCATATAACTGATGGCTTTCCTAAAATGAAAATTTCATAAGATTAAAAGAAAATTTTCATGTAACATTTTTGATAGAACTAATGTATTTATAATGTATAGATAGTTTGATAGAACTAATTTATATGTAATGTAGCAAAGTCACGTCGCAACTTCGATTTCAAAGTAAAAGCAAAGACAAGAACTAACTTAAAGATGACATTTCGTGTGAACTTTCACAAAAAATGCCTGGGAAAGTAGGAACTAAGACTGATACAACTTCTATTACTGGTTTAGGTGCTATGGAATCCGCGCCCAACGGTCACGTGGCAGCGATTTATGTGGCAAGGTATAATCGTTATGTCGACACAATCCTCACCAAGATCAATAACATCCTGCGCGCCAATTACGAGCCAGTAACTGTGAAGCTGACGAATACAAATTCAAGTTTCAAGTCGAACAAAAATAAAAGTAAAGGCAAGAAGAAAGGCAACAAAAATGGCACCAAGAAAAGCGCTTCAAAGCCGATTGATGCGTCCACAATCATTGATAAAAGTGATAATGAAAACGACATTGAGGTATAGACTCTGAAATCATTCTATCCGTTAATTAAAATAATTTATATTGCCACGCTATATTAGAGGACTAATTTAAATTTTAACGACAACAGAACGGATTCTTGAACAAAGGAGGTAAAATAGGTAAAATAGATCGATTTTGGCCCCCGTAGCGGCAAATAAAAACGGTATGTTTTTTTGTAGTTTTTGAGTTGCTGAATCTGAATCTAACCTTTAAAAATGTCTAACCTATCGGGAAAGTATTAAAATCAGCATAGGAAGCTGTTAAACATATAAGAAGTTATTATGAGAATGGTATGTTGATGAAACTGTAAAATAATAGTGAAATAAACAATATTAAGCGATAAGTGAAAATCGATCGATATATTAACAACACAAATTAATAAATAAACACTCAAAAAATGGTCTTGCAGCAAAAATTTTTTAGGTGTGAAAAATAGATAAATGATTAGCAAATACTGTGATATTGAATATGTTTGGCATTTAATCAATCTAAATAACAGACAGAATTTATATTTGAACTATTTGTGAAATTTAGAAAAAAAGTTTTTCTGCGGTGTCTATTCATGTTAAAGCCAATCATACTTGTTATAAAGTTTGACTGTGGTACATAAAAAAGACTAGTGACGAGAAACAAATGAATATATCCCCATAGCAAAAAAGCTACAGTGATTAGAACAAACTTACAATAGAGTCACAAGGTTACAGAAAAATTGAAATGTCACTGTGCCATTATCAGAAAGTTACAGTGATATCATTAGTTACAGTCGTGGTGATATCATCATAATATGACATAAAATGTCGCAGAAATGTTACAACAACATTCCAAAAACAGTATTTAGTCATTAGTTGGTTTGCTTACCGCTATGTGACGCATTATGCGCAATCTATCTCGTATTGAAGTTTTAAAATTATATAAAATTTGCAAAAGGCAGCTAATATAATATTAAAGATGTAATAACTTTCTACCAGTTTATTATCTGAATCCAAACACAAGGAATTTAGATAGACTAATTGTTCAGAAATTGAGTAAATAAATATCCCAGGGAGAACAACAGGTCTAAGAAACGTCTAATAGACATCTAATAGACGTCTATAGACGTTTATAGACGTCTATTGGCTGTCTATTAGACCTGTTGTTCTCCCTGGGATCTATTTCTTATTTTATATTTCTATTTTATTTTTTATGTCACAATGATGTCATAGCGACATTATATCTGTGATAAAGCAGACATTCGTATGTCACCACAATTTCATTATGACATATTTGAGCGTCACAGAGAAATATCATTATGATATCACTGTGATTTGTTTTGCTATGGGGGTATGGATCCGCACATCTAATATAATTTGTATAATGCGCCCATTTGTTATAATCGGCAACTATATTTCTCACAAGAAATATAGTTCGTTCTAGCTACAGTATCAAAAACTCATTTACTCAATGCAATTATTATTATTTGGCAATGAGACCTAAATTTTCTAGAAGATATTGCTAAAATGTTGCTGTTATAAATTTTAGATGTGACAAACAATATTTTAGCGGATACAAGAAATAGCGATACATTTTTGTTGTGACACCTAGAAATCTACCTACATCAGCAAAACATTTTTTTCAGTGATATATATACAGGGTGTCTGGCAATAATCGCCCCACCGGTCATATACAGGTAGAGGAGGTCAAATCGAGTAGAAAAGTCCTTTACCATTTTTTAATTTTCATAATAAGTACTGAGTAATTAACGAAAAAAGATCGGCGAATCCGCGCGAGTAAAGCGTGCGCGGTGAGAAGGACGTCCCACTGCTACGCGATCACTAGGACACAACGATCTAGCGTTACGCGCCGCTCGTATGTTGCCATTGTCATTTGTAGAGCGCTCCTCCCAACGCTTCATCGCGCGCCTAGTGATCGCATAGCAGTGGG